ATATATATATATATATATATATATATATATATATATAAGNGGAAAATGATCATGTGAGCCAATGGGCTACACAGTAAAAATGAGCCCAACGGTCTATATTGAATCTGAGCCGATTTGACGATCACGGATGCCCGCCCGATTGTGTTTGAATTTTTTGATTTTTTCTACAGATCCAAATCACTTAAAATTTTAAGTGTGTGTTCATAAAAAATACGTGAAACTTTGAAAAATATCAAAAACATATTTTACATGAAAAACATTGACCAAAATAACCCCGTAAAGTTTCGGGGCTATTTTGGTCATTTATATATATATATTTTATTAGGTGCGGCTTGATGAGAAGAATACACACCTAATATTTAAAGTCAATTGGATTTGTAAAAAAAAAAAATTAAAATTCAAACACTACTAGACATCCGTGATTGTCAGATTGGCCCATATTCAATCTAGGCCGTTAGGCTCATTTTTTCTTGTGAGCCTACTAGCTCACAGGATTATTTTCCATATATATATATATTAGAGGAAATGTGAACATTAGGCATACGTTAAAAAGATTTAAAAAATAATTTTGAAGATAAATTGATCAAAATATTCCTGCATATTTTAAAGGTCTTTCTGTGTCTACATTATATAGATGCTTGAAAGGTGCACAAGCACCTTCCCAATTTTTATGATTAAAAAGTTAAAGAAAATGTATGGTCAAGATTATTTGTAACATTTAATTTTTATGTTTTCAAAATTCATATCAATTTGAATTTTTGCACTTCCACAACCTTTTATGAGAAGCACCTAAAAGCATATTAAAATTAAGTTATAAAAAATAAATTGACCAAAATAACTTTGATGTTTGAAAAGTATTTTGGTCTATTATTTTTTATAAATTATGTTTTTATGAACTTTGTAGGTGTGCCTAAGTGGCACAGACTCGTTCAAAATCCCACGGCAATTAACTAGTAGAGAACTAATTAAAATTAAAATATTTTAAATCGTGATCATCTATACTTTTCCCTTCTAATCTGAATGTTGGAAAGGTGCATTTACACCCTTTAAGGGTCCGCATGATGTACATGCCATACTATCCCATTCAAAAACTATAAATTATATTTGCAGATGATAAAATGATAACTTATTATTAACGAGCAGCAAAGGAAAAAAGAAAGGCCCATGGGCACATTATCTCTTGCTTGAAAAAATGTTATTTACACAATCTTTTCTTTTCTATTTATGTTCTTCAACATAATCTCCTCCTCTCTTTCTCTCTCTCTCAACAACTCGGATCGAGTTCTTTGTACAATGGGGCAGTGAGTCTATGAGTTGCTGCTGTAGTCTTCTTCACCATAATCTCTCGCTCTCTCTCAAAAAAATGGAGCAGTGAATCTATGAATTGCTCTTGTAGTCTTTTGTTTTTTGAATCTGAAATTGCTCGTGTAGTCTTCTTCACCATAATCTGCCTCTGTCTCCAAAAGACGGTTTTGAGTTGTTCATACAATGGTGCAGTGAGTCTACGAAATGCTGCCATTGTCTTCACCACTCACTCTCTCTCTCTCTCTCTCTCTCTCTTCTGGATATAAGGGAGCAGTGAGTTTATGAATTGATGTTACAGTCATTATCATTGAGTCAAAGCCTTTTTCTAACTAATGAGGATCAACTATATGAATTATGGTTCGCTAATTGATATTGCAGTCCTATTCACCAATTACCCCTCTCCCTCTCTTTCTCTCTCTCATTCAATGAGTTGGGCTCTAGCATTCTTTACTTATCTCTCTCTCTCATGCAACCAGAGGGACATATCCTTCCTCTTCCATATGCTTCACCAGCCCCACCAATGTACCATAAACCTCAAGAATCTCAGGATGATACGTATCCATGGAAACAAACACATTCATCCTACTCTTCGCTTCGATCCAACTGCACCCTGCTCTCTTCCTCAAACCTTTCTCCCTCATCACGCCTCTAAGCCCCGCCACTTTGTCTCTCATTCCGGCCTCTGCATAAATATTCATCAACTGAACATAGTGGTTAGTTCGATTTGGCTCCATTTCTATCAAATGCTTTCCAGCTAATTCTCCCAGCCTTAAATTGTGAAAAACTCTACACGAACCAAGCAAAGATGCCCAAACACTTGAATCAGGCTCGACAGGCATGCTCTCTATGAACTCATAGGCTTCTTCCAGTTGCCCCGCCCTTGATAAAAGGTCGACTATGCATGCATAATGCTCCATTTTTGGGATGGTTCCGTAATTTCTGCTCATGATTTGGAAAAGTTCGAGACCTTTCTTGACTAGGCCACCATGGCTACAAGCTGAGATCAAAGCCAAGAAAGTGACCCCATCTGGTTTCAATTTGAATCTCTTCATCTCTTCAAAGAGCTCTAGGGCTTCGTTGCATTTTCCGTGTGATCCACAGCCAGAAATCATGGCGTTCCAAGCCATCAAAACGCCTTGTGGTGTTCTGTCGGATGATCCTCTCTCGTTTTGGCAGACATGGATTTCGCCATAGGTTTCTCTGTCTCTTTGAATTGTTTCACTGAGTACCTCTCTCCCTGTTTCACGAGTCTCTTCGAACATGTTTCTCTCTCTTATCTCTCTTTCTGATGTTCTTTCCAGTAGTTCTCTGTCTTCTTGATTCATGTCATCAAACACTTTTCTCTCTCTGCAAGGCATTTTATTAAACACAGTTCTTCCTGCTCTTAAGCTCCCACATTTGATATACATGTCAATTAAAATCCCATGAAAACCGAATTCTGGACAAAACCCATGTCTAATTATGTAACCATGGATGCTTTTCCCATGTTTTAGAGTTGCTAAGCGTGCAGTTGCAGAAATAAGAGTTGCTATAGTTATATAGTCAGGCTCTAAACCCTGTTGAACCATAATCATAAACAGCTCAATCGATCTTTCAGGCAAAGAATTCTGGTAAAATCCACATATTATTGCATTCCAAGTTGCCAGGTTCGTATATTTCATGTCAGAAAACCAAATTCCAGCAAGCTCAGGCAATCCACATTTAGCATACATGTCTATAATAGCGGTTCCGACAAATATATCAGAACTGAATCCACTTTTCATTATATAACCATGCATTTGGGTACCCAATGCTAGAGCCTCTAGACTTGCGCAACTTGATAAAATTATCGTTAAAATAGCAGAGTCAGGCTTTAGTCCTGATAACTCCATCTCCATCATCAAATTTAGAGCTCTAGAAACTTTCATTTCTTTGCAAAAGCCAGCGATCATGGCACCCCAAGCTGTTAAATCCTTTGAGTGAATTGTGTTGAAAATTGCCATGGCTTCCTCTAACTTTCCATGATTGGAATACATAGTTAGCAGAGCAGTTCTCACCCCTAAATGTGTCTGTACTGGTTTCTTTGCCAATTCACCATGAATCACTCTCCCGAGCTCTGAGAAACCCATTAAATTACAGGCTGATAATGCATTACATATACTAAAACAATCTGATTTTGCCCCACTAAATTTCATCAGTTTGTACAACTCCAAAGCCTTTTTGCCAAGATTATTATAAATACAAGAAGAAATCATGGAGTTCCATGAACCCAATTCTTTTAGAGGAGTTTCATTGAAAACCAGCCATGAATTCTCGATCTGACAGAATTTTCCATACATGTTTATGAGAGAGGAAGAGACGTAAGAATCGGAGCAAAGACCATGCTTTATAGCATAGCAGTGAAGAACTGAACCAAAGGTTGAGTCCTCGCCATTAGAGCATGCCGTCAAGACACTCGAAAAAGCCTCTGAACCAGGTTTTATTTTCTCTCTCATCATCAACTTGAACATCTCTAAGCTCTCACCCATCCCCTCATTTTGTGCTAAACCTCCAATTATAGTATTCCATGACACAAAATTTCTCTCAGGCATTTCATGAAACACATTTGTTGCAGAATTTAAATCACCAAAACTGAAGTAAAAACCCATTAAATTAGTCCCCAAAAATGGGTCACCCAACATTGAGTTTCTAATGATAAACCCATGGATTTGCTTCCCCAAATGCAAACCAGTAGAGTGATCACAGGGTCCAATATTTGTAGAGAGAGAGGACCCATGAGAATGAGGTTTAGAGAGCGAAAATCCACCAAGAAGTATAGAGAGAGAAAACCCATCTGGTCTTATGCCCAAAGATTGCATTTCCCTGAAAAAACCTGCACCTTCTTCTGCAAACCCCTGCTGAAAATACCCATCAATCATGGCATTATATATGGCCATGTCTCTGTGAGAGGTGTTATTGAAAACAATGAGAGCTTCATCTAAACACCCACATTTGGAATACATATTGATTAGAGAGCTTGCAATAAAAGGATCTGATTCCAATTTTAATTGGAGAATTTCATGGTGAATTTTTTCGCCCGAGTTAAGGTCAAAAGTGGCGGTGCAAGCTTTGAGAAGGCCTGGAAATATGAACTTGTCTGTTTTTTGGCCGGAATTTGAGATTCCGAAGAGAAATGATTCTATGGCCTCTTTGTAAAGACCATTGTAGAGAGAGGTTTTGATTTTGGACGTTAAGGTTACTGGGTTTGAGGCAGAGAGAGAAGAAACTGAGCGGAAGAGAGAAAATTGGGAAGTCATGTAACTGAAGCTTCACATAGAGATGGAAATTAAGCATGTTAACAGTGGAAACGGTTTGTGGGTCACTCTGGAAATGCAAAAACTCTCTCTTCGTTCCTCTCTTTAAATGGAAGCTATACCAGCTCTGTCTCTCAACCACCTCTCGCTCTCTCTCACCGGAATGGCAGCGAGTCAGGTCAGGTTCGGGGCCGGCCAACCCAGTATGATTTGCTCCAATGTTGTCTGATTCGCTTGGGGTCTTCTTCGATTCGATTCGGCGAGAAAATGAAACAATAAATCGGTGGGCGCCTAGGCATACGGCGCCGGCCTACGGGTGTCTTGAGGAAGGCTGACACAGTGTTTTGTGGGCACCGCGGTGGGTGCCTAGGCACACGGCGTCGCGGGGCCTACCGATGACACGAGCTGGGTAAACCCATGCAGTATGGGTGGTGGCCATCGAGTTGAGCGTCTACGCAAACGGCATCGTGGGGAAAGACTTTTATTTTTTTTTAATTTAATTACATTATATTTTTATATATTTATTTAAAAAAAATTTAATATAAAAAACTTATATATGGTTAAAAATATTCCAAAGCCTTTCTTGATAAACCCAGAGTTTTAAAAATATTTTTATTTAGGTATTTCTTTTTTTGACCGAAGCAACCCAAAGCCTCGACCAAAGTAGATCCGAATTTGACCGAAGCAGCTCAATACAGCCTAAATCTAACCGAAGCTGCAACACCATGCTTATTATTGCTTCAATTTATACCTAAAATCCGAAGGCTCCGACCGAAGTGAAGCGAATTTGATAACATTGATCTGATCATGTTTAACTTGGACCTAGACACACCAAGACCCAGGTTTGGGCCAAGTCATTTGGACTTGAATCCGAGCTCATAGGGCCAAGTTAAGTCCAATCTAGAAATAAAAAACAAAATATCATTTCATAATGGGTGCGGTTTGTATAGAGCCGAGGCTCTAAACAATCATGGTAGAGCCCACATTCAAATAGTATCGAGAAATGTGGTTTGGATATTGGAAATCTTTGTGATAGCATTAAAATATATTTTCATATTTAATTATAAAATTTAAAGATTTAAAAGTAATGTAGATCGAGTAGATAAAATCTTTAAAATTGACGGTCCAAAATACATTACAAAATGCTATTTTCAAAACTGGCAATTTATTTTTTTCTCATGTCAATGCATATTGATGTCGAGATGATCAATTTGAGGATATTTAAGCATCAAAACATCCTCTTTTAGTGAATTTTTTGAGATGCACTCTAATTTGATTGTCTAGAGCCTCGGCTCTATATAAATCTTTTCCAATATATGCTATATTTTATGTTTATATATACAGGGTTGGTCGACCTCAAAGTGGCTCCTATTGACCTCATAAGGTCCAAGACAGACCCAGGCTAGTTAAGGTTTACCCATTGGGTCAAGAGGACGGTCGGCAGGTCGGCCAAACGGGGATGCCACCCCTACTCTCTCTCTCTTTAAGTTTTAAATAGAAAAAATTGTCTCATGCGGGCTGGACCGTATGACTACATATGTGGTCCAAAAAGTATAAAGCATCAATTTTAAAAATGGATGCAAGTACGTGTACTATGGAAAAACAATGGACCAAATGTTTTCTTATTAAAATTATTATTTATAATTTTAAAAATTTACTTATTTTTCATATTCATGATCTTCATGTTAGAGGTTACGTGTCATTAAAAACTAAGCCCAAAAACCTATCTCAAAAATAAATTTATTAATGGGCCCGTATTTCTACATATGCGAACTTGGCCGCATAGAAACCGGTTCCTTAAAAAGTTCCAAGCAAACCTCATCCCGCTTCCATTTTAGGCAATGTAGAACGCGAACAGAGGAATCCATAATTTCGAAGAATATCTTGAAAATATCCACAGCGTGTTATATTTGTCAATGTGAAAGTGAATTCGTAATTTTCACTTGATGGTCCATGTCCGAATTGGAACTATTTGCACTAATTCAATGCAGTCTGTGTCCAAATTACATCAAATTTTTATGAGATTCAATTTGCATAGGATTTTGCTAGAATTTTAACCTGAAAATAAAGGGTAGGCGATCTCCGGATCAAAATACATCTAACTTTTCAATAATTTTATTGTTCATGGATTTTCAACAATTTCAACTCATGGTCATATGCATTTTGATGAGTATTTTGAAATGAAATAAAAAAATATGGATAAAATATTAGTAGTTGATATCTTATTGCTTTTCAATAATTTGATTGTTCATGGATTTTCAACTATTCCAACTCATGATCATATGCATTTTAATGAGTATTTTGAAATGAAATAAAAAAATATAGATAAAATAATAGTAATTGCTATCTCATGGGTATTTAGATAAATTTCCTTCATCTTGAGCATGGTTAAACTTTTGAGTTGGGATCCGGGAGATTCTGAGCTGAAAGACTGAGTCGAGTATTCCCTATTTTTCTAATTTTAAATATTTTTATAAAACATTCCGTAATCCAACTCGGATTCACCCAAGTCAGGTAGGGAGCCTTGGGCTTGACCACTTGGATGAATTCGAGCTCCACTTTTAAACAACCTGAATTAGATAGCTATTAAGTGAAATGTGTCTCTGCTCCTGCTGCGGGAGCAGACTATCCCTTTGGTTCAAGACTAAGCATTGAACTCAAAATCCAAATTTTTAAAATAGTTATACAATAATCATTGAGTATCTTCCAAATTTCAATAAAAAAAAATCTAATGAGTACATATTTAAACTGGGGCAAGCTTTCTATGCTCTTCCTACTGCATAGAAGTTCTATCTTCTTTCTACCATCCAGCCGTCCATTTTTTATCAAGAGAGCTACTCACCGTTTGATCTTAGATCCGATGTCTCAAAATATTTTATTTTTAGTTTTTTTTAATACAAATTGTATGAATATGAAATTTGGTACGTGCCATCTTTTCATTAGGGTGCATCTATAAAAAATATTAAAAATAATTTTTCGATAAAATATAATGACCAAAATACGTCTTCAAATTTTCAAAGGTATTTTGATCATTTTATTTTATTGAAAATATTTTTTTATATTTTTTTGTTAGGGCGAGTTTAATAGAGGTCTAAAATTTGGTGTCAAAACAGTTTATAGAAAAGAATTAAAAATAAAATAATGTAGAGATGTGAAATTGTGATTTTGGCAATCTGAGCCCTCCATTCAGAATGAACGGTTGGATAAGAAAGAAGATAGAACTTCTATGCTGCTAGGGAAGCATAGAAACCTTTCCCTTTAAACTGAGGGAGGAAATGCACAGTTTGCTCCCGCGAGTGTAGTTTACTTAGCTGCAGGGAAATTCTACTGGTAGCAAAAAGCCCAATAACGATGGGTCCAAACGGAAGCGGCGGTATTTTTTTCAAGGTAAGGGTAATATTGATATTTTAGTATAGAAGAAGGGGAATAGGCAATATCTATATATATTGGGCTCCTCAACTGAAATAACAGTCTCGCTCTCTCCTGCTAAGAGTGAGAAGAAGAGCATGGCCGCTAATTTGGACACACCTCTAATCCTTCACCTTCTCCATCCAAATCCTAATCCTAACCCTAACCCTAACCCTAGATTTTACACAGAAAGAAACTTCTTGCTAAGCCCTATACCAGAGCCATGGCCCAGTTGCAGAGCAAACCCTAATTCTGTTCCAGCAGAAACCCTAGGCACCGACGCATCAGATGAAGTGCCAGCTACGTGGAAGGATCGAAGGAAGACAGTGAAAGTCGCTTGGGAGAAGCTTGTGCGGTGGTCTAGGTCATGGAGGACTATAAATGCTAGGGCAAAGATGGATGTGCTTGAGCGAACCAGAAAGGTTCAGAATCTATGCATTTTTTTTCTTTCTTGAATTTTGGAATTGTTTTATTGATAAGTAGGAAATAATGGTTATTATTATTTTTTTTTAAAAAATGGCTTTTATATAATGAAGATGGATAATCCATGACTATTAATTATTTAATATTTTGATGATGATCAAATTTTGATTTCCGTTGAGTGATTTCTGGTTTTTCTTTGTAGTCTAGATCTCTTGATAAACTCAATGAATGATGTTATGTAATATTTTATGAATTAAGATACTTCTTGTGAATTTTCCCCCTTTTTGGTAAAATATAATGACATTTTGTTGTTTTTGGAGGTGATAGAGAATAAATGCTTATTTTTTGTTCGATTTTCTGAGATGATCAAATTGTGCTTGTGTTGAAGTTTTCCTTATTATTGTTTGTAGTAGCAATTATATGCAACAGATTCGATTAATCTTATTATATGAACAAGTTGATTTGATGACAATATCTTTGGAATACTTCAACAATTACAAGCAAGCAAATTGAATTTTTATGATGTTTGGCCTGATGGAGAATCCTTTCTTTTTTCCCTCAATATTATGACAATTTGTACTGTATGTTGAATGTTTTCAAGTTATCATATTTAGTTGCAATTATAAGCAGCAGCTTCCATTAAACTCTATGCTCTCCTGATAAGTAGAGATATAGTATCTTTATAAGCTTTAAAAATTTTGAGAAACAAATTACACATTCTCAATGTCATCTATTACAATGGTAAAATGAAGTATGGTATGTGTATGTTGGGCTTGTTGATTATATAAACTGGTTTTATAGTTTGAAACTTGGTTGTTTCTATGTTCTCAGCTAGTGATATTGTAGGGATTTTGTTGGAAGACTCTAAAAGTTTTGAGAAATAAATTACACATTCTCAATGTCATCTATTACAATGGTAAAATGAAGTCTGGTAAGTATATGTTGGCTTGTTGATTACATAAATTGGTTTTATAGTTTGAAACTTGGCTGTTTCTAAGTTCTCTGTTAGTGATATTGTAGGGATTTTGATGGAAGATGTATAATTTATGGATTTTTTTTTGCTAAGCTGAGAAACCTTGGCAATTATATTAAAGGTGAATAAAAACCAATTTAGCACTGCTTGATGGGCTGATTTTTTGGATGAGCCTATGTATTCCGTAAAATTTGAAGTATTGTCATTGATTGGTTATTTGGGTGATTAGTTATTGAGGGATAGGGGATACAGGTCGATTTATGTGGAGAATTAGATATAGAAGTGTTGGTTGTTTGAATCTTATCTTCAGAATGAGAGTTCCTCAATAATTGGCTAATTAACTAACTTTACCATCAAGTATGAACAATGTTTTCTCATTGACCAATTAATGGTAAATGAGAGTTTTTCCATGGGTTACTCGGGAGTATAATTTGGTTTATTGTCATCTCATCATTTTTGGAAATTTGGGAATATTTGAACATATCATGCCCTCAGGCTTTTTTGAACTTCCAAGGCTTATCATATTTCTGGAGTTTTTATATGTTAGTTTCTAATTGCCCCCAGAAATTACATTTATTTATTTGTTTACGAAGTGATCAAATTTGGTATTGATAGTTTAACTCTTCAATTTTGTGTGTATTTTACTTTACCTATTTTAACGTCGTGCGTGCATGTGTTTATACATAATGAAATTCATGTCTAAGTGTGTTGCATAGGGTCTTTTGCTTCTTTTAATCTCTTATATTTACTTTGCTTCTTTGGTTGGTAGAAGAATATATGGATCTCGCTACAAAAAGAAAGCATATCAATATCATTTGACATGATTGTGAGAACGACAATATCACATAACTGGTCAAAATATTAAGAATTATAATATAGCATAGTGTAGTGTGATTGCCATAGAATGAGGTTGTCTGGTTGGACTTATATTCACATCCCATTATGGCAACTAATAAAGACCTATCTGTATATGTTATATGTATTTATAGAACTACTACATATGCATTTGTGGATGTACGTGTGTATTTCTATTGCATAATTTCAATAAAAAGTTTGGTTTCATGAGCTAACTATATCTTTATATAATGGACCCAGTTTCTATGCGGCGAAGCTCGCATATGTAGAAATGCGGGCTTATTAATAAATCTATTTTTGAGATGGATTTTTGCACGTAATTTTTATGGACTTGTAATCTCTAACATGGAGATACTTGTAATCTCTAACATGGAGGTCATGAATATGAAAAAATTAGTAAATTTTAAAAACTAAAAATAATAATTCTAGTAAGAAAACATTTGGACCGTTAGCTTCCACTGTTTTTAGATGGAACACCTACTTGCATCCATCTTTAAGATGGATGCTTTACACTTTTTGGACTGCATATGTAGTCATGCAGTCCAGCCCGCATGAAACAATTTTCCTTGTATAATAGCCTTTATCTTATGGCCTGTTCTGTGGGTCTCTAGGTTGCAGTCCTTGGCGGGGGATCTTTTGGCACCGCAATGGCAGCTTTACTTGCAGGGAATAAGGCTGATATGGAGGTTACTATGCTTGTTAGGGATGAACATGTCTGCCAATCAATCAATGAAGAAAATTGTAACTGGTAAGTTTGGAAACCATCCATATCATGACTTGATTTCTTTCTCTTTGTTTATTTTTCAAAGCATATATCTGTCAGAAAATGCATGTCAGTGATACTGAATAAAACATTTTATTTTTGGTTTTACCCACATATTGTGTATAAATATACTTGGTTTCACTCTTAATGGTAGTGAATGTGCTGATTGCTGAAGATTCTTTTTTTTTTTTTTGTTGAATCACTAAGTCTGTTCAAGCATTTTCCTTTTCTCTATAACTTCTTGTTAAACAAGTCAGATATAACCCAGGACATTCACTATTGATTGTGTAAATGAAATTTTAAAATGGCTACAACTAAGTCACAGCACTTGGCCATAATGTTCAACCATGCATCATCATTGATTCTTGGATCAATTTGAACTTTCACTGATAAATTGAGCTCATGTATTTCTAAGTAAGAACTCGATTCAGAATCAAGGGTTTTCAGAATATCTCTTTGATTGGAAATGTTTGATAACATGGTTTCTAGATCCAGTAATCGCTCGTGGTTCCTAAACTTCAGCATTATTACCAAAGACGAGTTTCTTTTGTATTCTAGAAATGAAAATGTTGTCATATCATGTAGTTAATATTTAGAGCACAAGTTATATTACCTATTACAAATATAAAAAAGAAGAAGAAAAGAAAAATAAAATAAAGCGTGCATATTTTATTTTATTTTTTTAAATATGTTCATTTTGTCTTGAAGAATGGAGTATACAAAAAAATGGGGCAACCACTCTCACGGGTGAAGATAAAGAGTGCATAGATATGGTGTTAATCCTGTGAAGAGTTTCAGAATAAAACATTAAAGTGACACTGTGCTCAAACTCTTTTACATAATTTTGCATTATTGTTTGAGGCATGTGTGACGGTCTGCCAGCTACTTTTCAGGTTTTTGTCTGGCTGAAAAATCACATAACCAGTTGAAGTAGAAGATCATGGATGGATGTTCCACAAACAGTAATCCATTTTTAAGTAATTTACTAAATAAGAATAACTTAGTTATCTGAATGATGGGTAAAGTTAAAATGGGACACTCCCAAGCACTCAAGTTGGCCTTGATACTTTTCAAGGTAGGGTTCCAATTGTTGGACTCTCTTTCTACATGCTAAAAGAAAATCACTTAAGTAGAGCTGGTTCACTTAGTGATTCCGCCTGGTACATCCACATTTCTTTGAGTACTTCAAATTGGCTGCTTCTAGCTTTGACATTTGACCTCTAGATTAACTGCTTCTATTGACATCTGTTAGATGTTTGCTTTATAGGAGTTCTCTTGTTATCATGGATGTCTGATATGGATGGTACCCATTTACTGCTTTTTTTGTCCCAGCAACCACTTACCAGATTACAAGCTACCTGGAAATATTAGAGCTACACTAGATGCAAAAGATGCTTTGCAGGGATCTGATTTTTGCATACATGCGGTTCCTGTGCAGGTAATTTCCTCATCTCATTAGCATTTAGGTATGTGATTTTCTTTACTTGTTGCTTTTCCATAGAAGCATATATCTCCAAAATGTTGATATAGATGTGTAAAACATCACCATTTTGATATTTAATATAAGTATGTGCCACCATTCGTTTTTTTTTTTTGGGGATAATCTCTGATGTTGTATTAGTAATCAAGAAAAAAATTTCTGATGACATGCTGCTATACATAAAATGGAGACTGCTGCAACTTTTTGTAAACTAGTGAATGGTTTTCCTGGTACTGATTACCTGTTTGCAGTTCAGTGCATCTTTTCTACGAGGGATTTCACGGCATGTTGATCCCAAAATGCCCTTCATATCACTGAGCAAGGGCTTAGAACTCAATACTTTAAGAATGATGTCCCAAATCATTCCACAAGAATTGGGAAACCCAAACCAGCCTCTTGTTGTGTTATCGGGCCCATCTTTTGCAGTAGAATTGATGAAGAAATTGCCTACAGGTCCCAATTCTTGAACTACTTTAATGGATTATTATTCAGTATACTGCACTACTATTATTTAGTAGACCGGCTACAATTTGATAAATAAAATGGATGCAGGTTGTTGTATGATGGTTTCTTACTTATTAGTGGGTCATGACTAAATCCAAGAAGAAGGTCCAACTTGTTCATGGGGTTCAAGGGTTGTTAAGAAAGTCCTTCTTATTATACTTGATTTGGGGTTCTGCAGCAATGGTGGCCGCATCAAAGGACAAGAGGTTGGCACTTGCTGCGCAGCAGCTATTTGCTTCTCAATACCTGAGGATCAGCACATCTAGGTAAGGAAATGCACCAATTTCACCAAATGAGGGCAGAATATCAACTGCATTAATGAAATGTAAACCAATACGTCACTGTGAAGGCTTGGTTGTCTGTTCCAATAATATATCATGATGTTATTGATTTAACAATAAAGACATATATAGCTTCATTCTCTTGATGTTCTCATCTAACTACTGTTGTTGGTTTTTTTTTATGTTTCATGAATTTCATTGGAAGAAAAATCACCTCCACAAAGTCCATGCAAACGCGCTCTATTTATACAATTTATTGTTATCCCTTAGATATCGTTGAATTGCTCGAGACCAATGATGGTCTCCATTTCTCTTCCGATATTTTTCTACATACTTTACAAACTGGTTTGGGTCCTTGCTTGGTGCTGGTCTGCCTTGATATGTGTTTCTATATTGAGGCACCTTGATCAAACTCAACTTTTGGTATAACTGCTGATCCTTCTTAGTCCAGTGATGTCACAGGGGTCGAAATTGCTGGTGCTCTAAAAAATGTGCTTGCAATAGCAGCAGGGATTGTGGAAGGGATGAATCTCGGAAATAATTGTATGGCAGCTCTTGTTGCACAAGGTTGTTCAGAGATACGATGGTTAGCAACCAAGGTATATGCCATGCCCTTTCGAAAATTGGATTTCTCTTTTTGGGATTACTATTATCAACCAGAACCAATTTTATGTGTGGAAGGAATGAATTGAAACCAAAGAAGCTCTCTGTAAAGCACATGATTTTCTTTGTGATAGCTTTAAAAAATAACTGAACCCAGTTTCGCCAGCTCCAAACGACTGGTTCTAGATGGTCATTTCATATAGGTATAAAGTGCGGAAGATGTTTGGGCCAGATTGTTTCTGAGTTTATTCTAAGTGCTGATGCATAAGAACAAAAATATTTGCAATGGACATGGGTCGTAATTTATGTCCTCTATCCAAATTGATTGTTGTTTCCCTTCTTCAGATTCTATTCCATGCAAGGTCTGATGTAAACAATTTTTCCTTTTATGATCATGGCTAGTGCTTTGGTACAATTCATGGTTCCATTATAGTCATTATATGCACACTCGTTGTGTTGAGCACAAAGACAAGATTGTTTAAGAATGTTTACCATATAACCTGATCCTAATTTATCTCTTCTATCTAAATAGATGAAAGTTTTTCCAATAAAAAAGAACCTATTGAAGTTTTTCTTGCTCAGTTTCTTCTCCAACCAGGGCTGGTGTAAACAATTGTTCATTTACCAGATACTAAAACAATGATTTGGATATAAATTTCATGATCAAGTAGATCTACTTACTGTGACATGCAGATGGGTGCGAAGCCAACAACACTCACAGGTTTATCAGGAACTGGAGACATAATGCTCACCTGTTTTGTTAGCCTTTCAAGAAACAGAACAGTTGGGGTTCGTCTTGGATCAGGAGAGAAACTTGATATGATTTTAAGTTCCATGAACCAGGCATCTCTCTCTCTCTC